ATATTATTTATTATATTATTATTTTTTTATCGAATTGTTTGATCATGTAAAATATTTCATCTCAAATGTTAAATCGAGTCGTGAATTTTGTTTTTGTTTTATTTTTTCAGACAATTTTATTTGATATTCATTAAATAAGAAAATTATGATTAATTTATTATGCATTCGTCAATTTTAATTGTGTATCGGAAAATAATTATGACTCTTGACTTAATATATTATAGTTTCTTTTTTGATAGATAAGAGGGTTTGCCAATCGATACGATGAAGTCGTACAAATTTAATCTAAACTAATATCAAATGTGATTATTATGTTATTTGTTTTTGTTTTCAAAAAATTATATTATCTCCAATCAATACCGTGTAATCTTATCTATCAATTTTAGTTATCTTTCTATTCAAATTACGGTGTAGCAAAAATTTCATGTAAAAAACTAACAAATTTAATAATTATCTTCTCGACTTAAATCAAAAATATGTAATCTAAAATATCAATTATTTGATTGTCTTGAAAATTTCATGCGAAAACAAATTGAATTAATTTCTTCTCGACTCTATTAAAATTGTATTAACAAAATCAAAATTATGTAATATTAAATATCAATTATTTTGTCGTCTTGAAAATTTCTTACGAAATTGAGTTCAAACTAAAAATTCTATTAACATAAAATCTCACATTTAATAGAAAGAAAAATAAATGAATTGTTATATTTTTGTTATCGTTTGATTATAGAGAAGTATGCATGAACAAGGAACAAMAGTTATCAATTATTTTGTCTTTTTGATAATTTCGTACAAAATTGAATTTAAAAAACAAAAAAATTCTATTAACATAAAATCTCACATTTAATAGAAAGAAAAATAAATGAATTGTTATATTTTTGTTATCGTTTGATTATAGAGAAGTATGCATGAACAAGGAACAACAGTTATCAATTATTTTGTCTTTTTGATAATTTCATGCGAAAAAAATTTCTTACAAAATTGAATTTAAAAAACAAAAAAATTCTATTAACATAAAATCTCACATTTAATAGAAAGAAAAATACAAAAATTGTTATATATTTGTTGTTTGATTATAGAGAAGTATGCGTGGACGAGGGACAACAATTGTCATTGGCACACGGATGTCAATTTTACGAGGTCAGTGCTGCCGAAAGTCCAGCGGGTGCTGCGTTAGCATTTCAAGCACTTTTGAGAGAAGCAAGATCGGTCCAATTGTTACGTGCGTTACCGATACGAAGAAAACTGGGTGTACACTCGGTTTCCAGGGTCCTTGGGACAATATTTGGGAAAAACACAACCAAGGATCGTAAGAAGAGGCCATCGTTGAGTATATGACGCCTTCTATGCGCCCTCCTCCTCGGAGGTCGCGACGAACCCGGTAGAAGAACCGACGTCGTTGTCCTCAGTAGCAACGTTTATGCGAATCGTTGATCGTTCTTCTTTCATTTCCTATATATGTATATATGTTTGTATGTGTATTACTATGAAGTATTTAAATTGGACAATGTTAAGATTCACATGATCGTTTGTTTTAACATTTACCAAATATATCTGTAAATGAACCGATTATTTGGATTTATTCTTTACTATACTTCAATATTTTCTATATGCACCAATCATGTGAATTTTGGCATTATCCAATTTCGATTTTTTTATGGTAACGTATACATATATGTATATATATATATTCTTTTTTTCTTATCTTTTCTCTTTACCCGATTTCTTTTTTAATTTCTTTCTTTTTTCTATTTGTTTTTTTTTATGACATTAATTTAATTCGCGCACGAATTTTAATCTTTGAATTAAATTCAACGAACTTTTGTGGATAAGGATTAATTTTTTTCTTTTTTTTATATCGTTGTTCTCTTTTTATTATCCTCCCCAAAAAAACAAATTAAATAATATATTTTATAAAGAGAGTATCTCTCTCTCTTTCTCGAAAGAAAGAAATAAGTTAATTTGAATTAACGATTGTAATGATAATTATTTCGATGAAAATAATTTCTCAATGAACGTGTTCTCTCTCCAATAAGATTTATATTTTTTTTAAATAAATAAATCTTCGCCGCGAAACGTTTGTTACAAAATTTATATATCCGGTCGTGAAGAACGAGAAATATAATATAATATATTATACATAATACAAATATATTTTCTAATTGCATATATATATATATATATTATTTTTTTCAACGATGAAATCGGGTTAAGTCAGACGATCGTCGTGCCAATACGGGGTGAGAGAGGGTGCAAGATGACGTCCTTGAGATGTACCGAGCAATAATAATAATAATAATAATAAGATTAAGATAAAGATAAAGATGATTATGATAATGATGACGATGATGATGATGATGATGATGATTATAATGATGATGATGACAATGACGATGATGTTTAACACGTTCATCGAAAAACAAAACAAAAACAAAAAGGACAATAATCGATAATAAAATAAATCACACTAGCCTTATATTGGTGTCGAATCTATAATATATAATATTTGTTTTTTTTTTTTTTTATTTTTTTCTCCTTATTTATTCATAAGAAAGATTGTTGAATCGATATTTAATCGTACGATCGATATTCGAAACGATCGTTTGCCTTAAAATCACGTTTTCTTTTTCTTCTTTTATTTATTTATTTACTTCTTTGTGTGTTATTTTGTTTTCTTTCTGTTTGCATTTATAAAACAAACTAGTTGTTCGATAAATAATTGCAGCGAAAGCAAATTTCATTCGTTACTCGTATGAGTGTGCGTGTAGAACAAAAAAAATTACGTATCTATATGATTACTTTTGTAACGCGCGATCGAAAGTATTTTATATTTATTTTGGAAATAATTTTTCTCGAATTTGAAATACAAACTTTTCTTACGATCAAATTTACCTTTGTTTTATATATATATATATATAATTTTTTTTCTTTTTGTTAGGAAACAAGAAGTTCGATGTTAAATCGTGACGATACGAATTATACGAATTTCATATTATATTCGTTTATTGATTATGCGTGTATGATGCGTGGTATGTGTGTAATAAATCGAAGTAAGTTTTGTACTTAATTAATTTCCGATACACAAACCCGAGAGTCTTTCACATCCATTTTTCTCCGCGATACAAAAAATGCACGGTCTAATTTTATTATAATATTATTCGTAAATTATATTAAAAGAAAAAGAAAAAGAATGAAAAAAAAAAAAGAAAAACAATTAAATTATTGTAAATATTTTTCTACGAATCGAAAAAGTTTTCGATTTAAATTCATGAGTGGTGAGAGAAAATGGGGGTGTGAACGGGGAATGAAGGTGGGGTGCGAAACTTTAAAATCACATCGTCGTCGTTGTTGTTATTGTTATTATTATAAAAAAAAAACAAAAAAACAACCTTTTCTATAAATTCGATACTCGATGTACGGATACTTGTTATTACTTTTTTTCTTGTTTTTCTTTTTTTTTGTGTGTTTATTTTATTCGTTTTATTATAATTGTGTAAAACATCTCGTTGAGAAACCAAAATTTATTTGAGATTCGTACACTCGAGTTAAGATTTCACGAAAAGAGTTTTGGGGGTTTCGTAATATAAATCGTCGTTGTTTAAACGTCCATCGATTCGACGAATTTTTAATGTTCCTAAAGAAAAAAAAAAAAAGATAAACCTTTAGTTATATAAGATTGTTGTACATAGCGCAGATATTAACTTTACTAAGGCTACTTGTTATTATATACGATATGAAAAGAAAAGAAAGGAAAGATGAACAAGATGATTGATGAATTTATATAAGAATGATGATAATGATTATGATGAAGAAATGAAAATTTAAAGAGTCTCATAGACTTGATTTTTGTCTTATCTATTAAGATTCTAATGAAATTTAACGAAAACTAAAGGAGAGTGTGTTCCAACGTTCCACACACATTACATATATACATATATATATATATATATAGATGATATAAAAAACAAACAAAATTTTTTTTCTTTTCTTTTTAAATTTACAAAAGAAAATATAAGAAAATTACGTTCTATTAAGGGTAACACATTAAACAAAAAATAGAGAAATATTGAAAAGAAATTAATTTTCTTCTTTCTTTTTGGAAAATATCCGTCTCCTTTTATTTTCGTTAAATAATTTGTTTCTTTTCCTACGATAAAACACACACACGCGCGCGCACACATATATACAAAAATACGAGTTACGCAATTATTAAAAAAAAAAAATAAAATCTTAATTTATCTGTGTGTCGGTTGACAAGCATGAGCAAGAGTTGTTTTTTTTTTTTTTCTAATAAATATGTGTTGCGTGTGTGTGTGTGTGTGTGTGTGGTGGGATGAGAAAAATCAAGAGAGTGAAAGAGAAAAAATAATTGACCGATTGTGCATCTAATAAAATATACATTCCAATGCGCGCGAAATTTAAATCTCATAATCGGTCATATCACATGTGTGTGGGTTTTTTGTTCGAATGTATGTATGCGTATTATGTATAAGTGTGTACGTCTTACCGACGAATTTTCACGAATTCCGGCAGACATCGCGGTCGCTGTATTTAAAGTGCTAGTCACTTGTTATCATAACATTGATGATGATGATGATGATGATGATGATGATAATTTGATATGAAGAATAAATTCATTTTTTGTTAGATTTCAAACGTGATTCTTTCTGTTATCCCATTTCATACCCAATTTCTTTCCCCCCCCCCTTTACTCCGTTTATATTTTGTAAATAATTAAAATTACAAATCATATTTTTCGTTTTTGTTAAAATAGGATCATACTGAGGAGTAAGATAAAAAATTATTTATCAATCGTAATATTTAATTTCTTTTTTCTTTTGTAACAAAAGGATTTATAGATTGAAATATAAATTTATAATATTACGATGATTTTTGAAATCGTTCGTATTGCCAAAAAAATATTGATTGAAATTTTCGTGAAGAATTTTCTTCTTTTTTTGTGTGTCGATAGATAAACGAGTATAATTGGTAAGATAAGATATTTATTTATTGTTGTTGTCTAAATGAAACAGCATAAATGATCGTTTCACTCTATCGTGAAATTTTAAACATTTATTTCACTACGTTGGGGTATCGTTAACGAAACAGCGGATTGGCCGAATAATTTGAAGGATTTGGGCCAAGGTTTCATCAAAATGCAACACGTGTTTCTTACATTAACCGTGGTACAGAAATAAAATACGTTCTTCTTCATCTCTCCCTTTACTAAACTATGCATGATGTATTCTTCTCATCATCTTGGATGATGAATATGTGAATTTTTCTCTTCAACCAAACCAAAAAAAAAATACAACGTATAAACAAGGGTTTGCTGTTTCGTATGAATTCATACACAAAAACAAATACAAAGAAACTAATTTATAAAAAGGAAGTTCTCATTTTTTTCTATTCATAATTTATCTTACAATTAAACAATAAATCGTGTGTAATTTAAATTACTCATATCAGTTTATAATGGTGGAAATGATATTTTGTAAAAGAAAAATAAATCGTGAAAAGTATCGTAACATAAATATTACGTAAAATATAATCGAATTCGTTAATTAAACCAACAGGTTATAAATAAAAGAAAATATTTATCATATTTTGTAATAAATTAAAATATAAAATAAAAATCTCTTGAATATAGATAGATCAGAGTCCATCCAACACGTTAAATTTAAAGAAGATATATAGACTAACTTCATGCTGTTAATTTCACGTCGCTGTGCGCGCGCATCGTAATAACCAACTAACTTCACGCTGTTGTTAATTTCACGTCGCTGTGCGCACGCGCTCATCGTAAAAATCTTACACTCATTATTTTTTCTCTAACTCGTCAAAAGAAGTATAACTTCAAATATACAAAATACTCGAGTCAAATAGTATAAAAGGTAAACTGTATAACAAATAAAAGAAATGAGTAAGAAAATAAAAAGTAAAAATATTAAAAAGACATGGTAAGAAGAATAGACACTGGAATCTAAGTGTCAACACGTTCTTGAAGTTCTCTCGAGTATACTAGACAACCCTTCAGTAAACATAAACGTTCACATAAAAGCAGAAAGAAAGGAAGGAAGGAAGGAAAGGAAGGAAGGTAAAGATCTAAAGGTGGTTTTTCCTGGCGGCGTTCTACGTGCCGAAGAGAGCTCTGGTTAACGACATTACGAGGTGACAGGTACAAGGGCTGAAAGGCACACGCTTGGGTTTAGGATTTCCAGGCGAAGGCGCCTCAGGACAACACTCTCGTATAGAAAGAAAGAAAGAAAGAAAGAAAGCAAGAAATAAATAAAGAAATAAAGAGAGTAAGAGTAAGAGTAAGAGTAAGAGAAAGATGGGACGAGTTTAAGCCGCTAGGAGAGAATTTCTCGTAGGCCGTGTGTGGTTGCATCTCATATTACCTCGTCCTTTGCAGCTCTTTTACACCCTCAAGGCAAGGGACCCTCTCAAGACCCCGCCTCCGCTAACTTCTTCCTTCCAAGACAAACGATCTGGGTGTACCGATAAAACCGATGCTAAGACACCGATTTATCGTAGTGACGTGTCACCACGCGTGTGGGGGACAATGTCGAACGAACCGACAAGACAACTCAACCCTTTCCTTTCCTTTCATTTCATTTCATTTCCTTTTCTTTTCTTTCCTTTTATTTTATTTGATTTTATTTTTAAACACACCGATACATCGAAAAACTGGAATAACTTTA